ATGTGCTCCAGCAGCAGTGGACCCGCTCGCTGCAGCACAAGCATGTGATTTGTGCTGGCTGTTGACACCTGCCTCTTCCTATGAAACAGCTTCAGTGTCATCTCGGGCCTGTGTGTGCATGTATGTGTGTAGAGGGAGGATGGGATTTATTTATATTAATAATTATTTAGTCAATACCGGGGGTATGTCTATAGCGATACTGTCCTGGTGCACAGAGCCTGTGGGTGGTTCGGGCTCACGTGTGGTGGATTGTCATAGCCTCTCAGTGCGTTGCCTCACAGTCGTTCTTCACTGGCTAGCTTTATGTCCCACACCCCACACTAAAGCTGCCAGTTGAAGAGCTGTTGTGTGTAACCATGACAACAGATCTCTCCGCATAGGGCATGGTGAAAAAAACCGAGACATGTCAAACTGTGTTAATATTGAAATTGAAGTTGCGAGGGTGTGGCCACTGCTGGTTTTTTTCACAACAAGAATTGGCAAAGATTTGTGCTCGTGCATGTTCACAGCTCACATGCATATTGTTGCATTTTGATTATAAAGGCACCTTCAAAGCTGAAATCAGAAAAAGTTCTTGATATTTGATACCACTGTGCCTCCCTCAGGTCTCCAAGTATTGACTGTACTGCAGCTTCTACTAGCTCATGATAATAAAGTCATTAGAGGTGACACCTTCCTACAGGGACTCAACCTTTTTATTTAGCATCTTTGTTTCTATGGAGACGCTTGTGCACACAGCATCTGTATATTCCAGGTGTTATGGACTACCTGTCGGCTGAGATCTCCACCTCCAAGCAGAAGAAGTTCAGCCTCTTGACGTTCGTGGACACTCCGGGTCTGGTGGATGGAGACATGATCTACCCTTTTAACGTCAACAGCGCCATCACCTGGTTGGGTATGGTTTGACAGCTCAAACATTTGTTATTCCGGTGCTGATCAGACTGAGCTGTTTGGTTTCAATAGTGACTGTTTTGTTTCTTTCTGTGCAGGAGAACAGTCAGACTTGATATTTGTGTTCTTCGACCCGATGGGCCAGGCGCTATGCAAGCGCACGCTCAACATCGTGGAGAAGCTAAGTGAGAAATGTGGAGACAAGGTGTTGTTCTACCTGAGTAAGGCAGATGAAGCTGGGAAGGAAACAGATAGACAGGTAAGTTCACTCCATATGAAATTTTTTGATTGATTTGACTCGGTGAAAGGTAAACTTGCAATTTTTTTTCTTCTGGCAGAGGGTGATGATGCAGATTGTCCAGGAACTGTGTCGCTGTCCAGGTCTCAACAAATGTGGTTTTGATATGCCAACAATTTACATCCCCAACCCACAGAGGGTAAATAAACCGTCGTTTTACTAGTTATTTTACAGAAGTAATTCCATTTGGAATCTTCTGGCTTCTTCCAGTTTTAACAACTGATTAACCATCTAATACTTAAATGATTTACATATTTTAGTGTTTTCCCACCTTGCAGCATCTTTGTAGAGTTGTTTCCTGTATTTAGGAGTGTTTCCCTCAGATCTCAGGTCTTGGGTCTGGAATTAAAGCTCTCTTCCATCCTGGGGCTTGAGCAGTCATTGATTATCCTTGAATGTAAATTCTCCACCCCAGATTTCCTTGTGGCCCTTCGTAGCCAGGGACAGGATGATTCATTTTGCTGTATGAGGCGTGAGAGTCTTATCCACTCCCAGGGTGAACAGGGGTTGTAAACCATGCCCTCTGATCGGCCACCTTTGACAACGGCAGCCCCAGGCCTGAGTTATTGCTGCACCATTTTGTGATCTACAGCCACAAAGCTCTGCTCTGCATGTTAGATTTGTGCAACCCCCCCGACCTCCAATTTATTTTTGCTGACCAAATGCGTCCTCACTTCCAACTAAGTGCTTATGGCTGTCAGTCACGATCCCCTCAGGGTTTGTCTCGGAAGTTTCCATACCTTTGCTCTTTAAGATGCACAAGATGTTTTGTGTGTTCACGCTAAAACTGTTGCACTTATGAGCCTTGGTGTTGTTTAGCCGAGCAGGTGTGTGAACCAGATCGATGGGGTTTGTCAGACCATCGAGAAAACCATCAACCAGGCCGTTCAGAAGACTCTGGACCAGCTGGAGAAAGATTGTGACCTTATTTGTTCCACCATCAGCAGCAGACTAGAGCAGGACAGGTTTGACATCTTTTGACTTACAGCACAGCATCATACATGCTAAAGCTATCATACAGTGCAGTGATATTTAAACCCTGTTTCTCTGTGTGAACGTGCAGGGCTGATGTGACTCACAGCAAAAGTGTGCGTCTTCGCTCCTTCCTGTGTGGGGTTCTGGGCGTTTTCCTTCCGTTCCTGTTTATCCTTAGTTTCATTGTGAGCACCTTCTCCACAGAGGAGCTGGGGGAGCTGTTGGGCGAAGGTCCAGCTCAGACCCTCACTGTCTTCTCAGTAAGTCCAAGTAATATTCTTAGTGTTGAAGAGCGTGAAAGCTGATAGATAAACAAATAACATTGCAGAAAACTATTTTTTTTATCATTATTCTTTGTACTTATTACTTGTGAACTTAATTCTGTTTAACATGTGTCTCACAGGGAGTTGTGATATATTTATGGGACTGGATACCAGAGGACGGACAAGTTTTGTTTGTCATTATTTTTGGGGCTTTTTGTTACCTCCTGCTTTTCTTAGCAAAGTATTTTGCAGGGTAAGTGTTAAACTTTAATCAGTTAATTGATTAGTAGATTTTTACCTATAACTGTGATCCCATTCAGACCTGCTACAAACAAACACATCTTTAAAATCAGACTGGGTTAAGATACAATAATTCTAATTTCATGAATACAACTGATGTACTAATTTATTTGCATGCAGAGCGGGGAAGTGGGATCCGATCATAACTGGTGACAGGAGACACATTTAGTATATATTAATGTCAGCTATGAACAGACAAACTTAAAGCTGACCACTCTGACGGATCTCTGAGGATGGATGTTAACACCGGGTCTGAACACTGTCACTGCCATTTAAGCTTACTGGATTCAGTCTCTTAAGTGAGATTATTTTCTACCTTTTTTTGTTTTTTTCATAATAACAAATTAAAAAAGGGCATCTTGATGTTAAGGACGTTCTGATGGAACCCTTAGAGAAATGTCTAAATGTCAAGAAGGTACACAAATCAAACTTACACAGTTCTGCCAACACACAAGGAGGAAGTGATTGTTTAGATTGTGATAAAACATTTTGTTCTTCATTCTCAGCCAACGGAATAAGACTTTGACAAAGAAGGAGAAGAGGGTGATGACTGAGTACAAAGATTACATCCAGGATATTGTTAAAACCAAGAAGGTAAATCCTTGTTCGATTTTACGCATGTATTTTACAAACATTAAAACTGCAGTAATAGATATTTTTATATTGCTGAAAGTAATGCAAAAAGTGTCTTTACACTCAGCTCTATTGAGTTTTAAGCATCAGCTCTAAGCTCTGTTGTTTTACATCAGAATTGTGAATCTCACACAGTTAATTTTGTTCCACAGGGTAAATTGTATGAGTGGTACCTCCAGCAGTGTGCAGCAGAATATGACCTCTGACCCCAGGTAGACTGAAGACACTTGGTTCATCCATTTGTTGACATATTGCTACAAGGTTCTTTCTGTAAAATGACTGATAGCTTCGGGTTTTTTTTGTAATCAGTATTTTCTGTTTCCTCAGTCAGCAGGTGGAACCTCTGATGCAACAAGATCACCGCCAACATCATCATCATCTCAAGATCTGATTAAAAATGAAAAAGTGCCTCCGTCATTGAGTTCAGGAGAAACTGTGATTGTAGTTGTTTTTCATAATGTGAATAGATATTTTTAGAGCATAAATGAAGCTAGAGAGAAGTGGAGTGTTTACAAATGGACTTTTTCTTATTTTTGTTTGAATTTCTTTAACTTGCAGGTGCTTTTAACAACAGTCATCATTTTATTATTCTCATCATGGTCCACAAATCTCACTGCACCGTCCTGATGTCATGTTGTCTGTCAAGATACAAGAATGTGTGTTCATTCTGAATGTTAAAGCAATAACTGTAATAACCAATGCTGTGATAACACTCAGGCATTATAGTCTGACATTTCTTCACATCATTTTGATGCAGTCAATGAGATTTACGGCTGCAAACTTCCTCCTGCCTCCAAAGAGTGTGTTCTACAGTGTGATTCATGTGTGATTTGTACAGTAAAACTACAGCTGGTAAACAGTTAGTTCCTGCACTGATGTGTGTCTCCTAATGGTATTAATGAATCCCTCATGTTGTCTAAAAACACCATGTAATGCCTTTTCTCCAGTGTTTGTAGAAATATGTATTTGCCTAAAGGTGTTTTTAAGGAGCTTTTTTTTTTTACAAGGGATGCACTGATCTGATATTACAGATCTTTTCCAAGTCTGACTGATACTTTACTTTTAATGCTGTGACTAATCCAAAGTTTTCACTAAAATAGTTAGGGATTTATTTATCAAGTACATTCATCCAGTGATGTTTGGCTGCCGGATTGTAAACTTAAAGATAAATAAGCTGTTATGGCTGAGACCCTGATTTGAGGTATCAGTAAAGGTTGGATCAGTTCATCCCCACTTTTTACCCCAAAAATGCAGAAACATCTCATCTAGTTGTTTGCAATATTATTCTGAGCTCTGCCCGTTTGTTTTGTGTGTGTCAGATGCCAGGTGACCTCCTCTTAAGGAAATACATGTTTTATAAGTTTTTAAATTTACAAATTTATTAAACTTGTGTTTAAATCTATATATTGTGTATTTTTTTTAGAAAAAATATTTCAATTGTCTGAAACCTGAACTCAATTGGCTTGTTTAGGAACTTTATTCCGTAAACAAGACTCAAATCAAGAAATCTGCAAACTCACTGTAACTCCCTTGAAAACGATTAAACATTTTTTACTTTTACTCGAGTGCCTCTTCTTTTTGTTATTAATAAAGTCAAAAACACACGATGATTGTAAAAAAGCACTGAATTGTTATTGTTGGAAGACTTTTATTTCAAAGTTTAGTTATAAAAATGCCATTCCAGGCTCATCTGTAGGAAGAACGATGCTTTTTAAAATGTAGTGTCGGAGCTCAAGTATTCTGGGATCATCAGCTCACCAGGATGTAATCAAGCATCTGTTTTAAACCCCCTCGGCACATTATAAGCATTTCTGAATATAAATGAAAGAAGCAGTGAAATTACAATAACTGGGGGAAAATTGATATGAAAGTAACAAATTCACTTCTGCTTGAGAATGTATCAGAAACCCAGAACGCTCAGGCCTCGAACCTCTGTTCCCTGACTTAGTAACAAATAAAGTCCCTGGAGCTGAGAGCAATCAAAACTAACCTTTAAATACAAATGGATTGTTTTCTAATGGAGTGATATCTGTTGGAAAATACATGATTCTATTGTGCAAGCACTAGTGTACAATTTAAAATATGTTTAGATTTCATTTGTGTAATCTATGAGCAAGGCAACCGATAAGAAGAGGTATCTTGTAAAGCCAGTGTGTGTTAGTGAGTTGCTCAAAGCTGCATTCAGGTTTCTGCTGACTTGTTGCAGATGTAACCTTATGTTCGCTGATGCATCGACATTGTGATATCTCGGTTTAAGGGGCCTATTGTCCCCCCCCCCCCATCTCCTGTTTAAGTAAGTAAAACCATGCAGATATAGGGTCTGTATGCGAGCATATACAACCAAATCTGTTATTTAAAACTTAGAAAAATTCAGTTCAAATTGTATGCTCTTATATTTGTTACAGTGCATTCAGGATTATAGCTATATACAATGTTATTTGTACAAAAATGCCAATGCCTGTCTCTGGCTTCTTATAAACAAAGTGTACAGGTAGATACATCTTGCTGCATCACAGAGGCTGAGAGCAGTATTGCTTTGTTGTGATGCATGACAACATGATCATATGAAGACCTGCAGACACAGCGTCCGTGTGTGTTCAGATCGTGTATGGCTCTGTACGTCACTTTAAAATGTCTCTCAGGAACAAAAGCATGTTTCAGTGTTGTCCTCAGGGGAGTGTGCCTCACGCCGACAGCGTGTGTGAGAGAGAGAGAGTGTGTCCAGACTGGGATAGCTGCTCAGTGTCTCAGCACCATAAGTGTCCATATTGAGGTGTCCAGTGGACTTTGGCCCTTCATTGAGAGCCTTTGTCGATCAACCAGGAAATGTCTCCAGTCCTACAAGACAGAAACAGCCATGAGACACATCATACACACAATCATCAAGTCCATTAGTAACGGTTCTCTGCATGTGTTCATTATGAGTGAAATGGAAAAGGACATATTTTTCCGTACTTGCCAAGTCGTGCTAACATCCTTCAATTTTTTTGTTTTGATTGCATTATTAGAAATGAAAGACATGAAGAACACTACAGTCAAATTAAACCCTCAACAGACAGAGACAAAACACACAGAAATATACAGTAGAGTGGAGTAATAGCAATATAGAAACACTACAATGTAGTAACTCTTTATTATTCCTACAATGGTTCATTGAATTGGCTGTGTAATTTAGTCCTAATAATAGGGGGAGCAACTAAATCCGAGTCTTTTAGTTTGCGCACGGAAGCACAAACTAAAAATTCATCAGCTACAGCTGCTGTGAAACAATTATAACTGGTGTATGAACACGTACTGAACGACAATATAATTTGTACACTATCATGATAAAATATGTCTTAATATGTTTAACATATTTTATTTGTGTAGCAG